TCCCTCCCCGGGGCGGCTTTTCCCGCGGTTTTTTGAGGGGGGGGGGGGGGGGGTATTTGAACACTGGGAGTGTCATGAGTCTCAGGGGATTATTCATACATCCCACAAGCAGGAGAGGTCTCCTACAGCCAAAACGACCCTCAGGGAGACCATGAGACCGACCCACCTTTAATACTGCCACTTTAGTAAAAAGCCATAAGCTTAAAGAGAAACTTAATGGACTCCAGTTCAGCAGAGACAGACACGCTACAGAGGCAGGTACTGCATCAAGCTGGAAAGAAAGCTCAATAGACTTTTTTCATGTAGGTGGGAAGAGGGAAAAAAAAAAAGGACACTTCTGGTGCAATGGAAGGAAAGTTATTTCAGTTTCAGAAATATCACTTCTGTGATATTCAGATAGGAGTATTTTTGATTCAGCCACAGGTGGGTAGAAAGCCTCACTCTGCACAAATTTCTTTTTCCATTAAGCCCTTTCTGTATTTAGTTTTTATAGCTTAGGAGTCACCAGTCTAGTACCATGGCATTCTCCACAACATAAGTGATATATTTTTTTATGTATAACATTTTTATACAGTTCAGCTGCAACAGAATTACTTGTTTTAATCTGGCAATCTCAGCCCATCTTGTCCTTTCTAAATAGTTTTGCAACCGTATTGTAGGTAAGAATAGCTCAGCATAAAGTGGGTGAAGAAGAGAGAGACAAAAACTGAAGAATCCCGGACAGAAAGTTTCAGTTGGTTACAGGAGCACGACAGCTACAAATCCCAATAGATCAACTGCTCATTTTAATTTGCCAAAAGACAGCAGGGCTGATCTCACAGCTTGCAATAACTAAAATAGAAATGCCGCCCCCGCTGCCAAATAATAATCCAAAGACTTCAAAAAAAACAAAGCCACAACCAAACACAACTAGAGAATATAAAACTTACAGGGGTTGTTTCTTCCCGACGCTACAAGTAATGGATGTGTACAGCTTGAGACAGACTCTACCCAGAGATCCATTGTTCCTTCCCCTAGGCCTCCGGCATTTCCAAGGGGCAGTCCCTCCTTTCGGGTACCCCCGCTAACACCGATCCCTTCTCGGAGCCCGCCCGACCGGAGCCATGGCAACACGGTGGGGTTACCGAGCCCCACCACCTCCGCGGAACCCACGGATCTCCCCGCAAATTTTATTTAGGGAGACCGCCGCCCCCCCAGCCCCCGGCTCCTCCAGGAGGCTCCCCCCCTGCGCGGGGCCGTCCCGCCCGCAGGAGCCCGCTTTCCGCCCGACCCTCCGAGCCCCCCCGGCCGCC